CTTTAATGGGTGCAGACACTGCTGGCACTAACTGAAAGCCCACACCTGTTGTCAACCAAAATCACTACTGCCATCCTGGCTCTTCCAACAAGAAAACTAAGGCACAGAAAGATTGATGGGCAGGAGGGAAGCCTAGGGAAGCCATCTTCCCATTAGAGATAAATGCATTTGACCCTGAAACACTGATTTCACTGAGTATTTCCTTGGAAATATTCAAGGTTGAGTCTTAGAGATATTACTACTGTGCTGTACTTTTTTATTCTTCAAATGTTTATTGGCCACTTACTCTCTGCTAATCACTGGACAAGACTTTAGGAATTTAATTACCAGCAAGTACTTTTTACTGAGTCAAATCCATTATGTGCTTGATCTCACTGTCCTAGTTCTGCTAGGCACTACTTCTTGTTTCTCACCCTGCTGTAATGGAGGAAGCCAGGATTTGAGCTCAGGTTGTTCTGCCCCTAAAGCCAATACATTAAAGACTGAATACAATTACAGAAATTGGAGGTGATCAATATGTACACAATTACTATGGAAAAAGAAGAGATAGAGAAGGAAGGCTAGAGTTACATTGTTTAAACATTTCCTTCAGAATGCCCTTAACAAAGAGGCGGGTGAGTCTTCTTTTTCAGGATCTTCACTTGCTAATTTTGCAGTTCTTTACATACCCAATGCTCTAGAATGAAGAATACAAATTGTAGATCCTTAATCCCAGTTGGGCCAGGAGCCCTTCCAGCTGTGGTTCTCTCTTTTGCTGTCTTGAAGTGTGAGCCTGCGCGGTTAACAGCTGACTTGATGTGCCCACTTAGGCAGCTAACCCATGGCAGAGCTAAGACACACTCCCTGGGAATCCTGAGACCGGGGGACTGAATTAAGCCATCTGCACATTCTGGTGAGGAGTGTATACAGCAGCTGTACGATGTCTGGCCCACGACAAACGTCCTACAGCAGACACTCCCAAACAATCCATTCTGAGGCCAGATATTCTGAAGTAAAGACTTTGCCATTTGGATACAAAGCCATGGGGTGCACTTTGAAGTTGACCTGCCACCTTGTGGAAACTGGAGGGAATACACCACGGCCCTTGAAAAAGGCACTTCCATGGTGCTATCACATGGGCTGTAACACCCTCCCCTGGTTGCACTCTGAGCCAGTCTCACTGAGTAGCCCTGGGCTGGTCTCCAGCTCCTGGACCAAGTGAGCCTCCTGCCTCACCCTCTTCGGTAAGGACAGTACCTATCCTGTTAGGTTATTTCATAACTAAAACTAAAGTTTTATAGTTAAAATTTCCTGATGAAATCAAGTAGCTGGCATTTCGGGTACATTCCCCTGTGCCTAGCTTAGGCTGACACGTCCTGAGGCCTCAGCATGTGCTATGTGCTCTGCAGAGCATCTTCCAAATGCTTCCTACCCTAGTTATAAAATCATCTTACAAAGAAGATGCAGTCACTGTTCTCCATTTAAAGGTGAGGAATATGTGTCCTTGAAAGGTTATTTTCCGAAGTCACAGATGTGGGAACCCCAGGGATGCTGCAAATTCCATCTGCACTGCCCCTGTACCGTATACCCTCCCCTCAGGCATGTCAATGCCAGAGAAAGTACTGCGGTTCTTTGGTAGGATCCTTAACAACAGCCATCTGAAGATAGCCCTATCCTAGCAGAGCAGTGAGAAATGCTGCAGCTGCCTCCAGCGGGTCCAGGACATCAAGAGATGAGGCCAGCTGGGTGGAGGGCTCTCCCTGGCTTTCATCACCTGTGTCACAGCCCTCACACACCCACGCTCAGCCAGGTATAAAGGCCAGCTGACCTGTGTCCCATGCCTCGGCATTCCCCCCACCCCCAATAACCTTGGGCTGCTTCCTCATCATTGGGAGCCTTACTTCCTCATTTATAAAATGGGGCAGCATTGACACATATAACCAAACTCTGCTTTGGAAAATATATTTGAGACAAAGAAATGATGTGTTTCTGCAAATGAGATGTTAAGTACTTAGCACAGTATAGAGAGCCCTTTCTGGCCTCATCTTGGTCTGGGAAGTTTATGTTTGTAAAACCATGGATAAATTATTGGAATTCCATCAAGCTAACTGTAATCTACCACACCCAGTGCAATCCACAGTGAGATTAAGGCAGATTTATAACGATGGGGAGCCAACGGGTCCTAAGTTCAGCCATGGTGAAGGCTATCTGAAACAAAGGCCTTGACCCAGGGCTGAACCCAGGTTTTATTCAGTCATGGAGGAGTGGCTTGAGGATGAATGACTGAGAATGGCAGGAAATAAGATCTCACTGTGAGCTGGGCTAGGTAGGAGGCTTGTATTTATCCCTACAATATGCAGAGAAGGATACCCAGAGAGTAATTTGCATTATATAATTGAGACAGTATCTAATGTCTTGGGGTCTGGTGCTTTAGCTCTGATGTGTAATCTTTCAAGCCCCACACAGTCATAGCCTGTATCTCACGGCTTGATCCCAGTCAACACTGTGGAGCATAGGTTCTTTGTTCGGTCTCAGTCTGGCCCATATTAAAGGACAGCAGGTTGCGTTTACTAGGGAAACAAGCATACCATCTTCAAAGACCACAAGCACCTCGACTTGACCAATATGCATTGCTTAAAGCCAGTTGATGAGATAAAGAAAACTCCTGGCCAGCTCTGTACCTCTCAGTACACAGAAATAGGGTCAGGCACAGCCAAAATGGAGACAATTGCTCTTCTTTAAAGGAAAGTTGCCCAGGTGGTCTTTCACACACAGTATTCAGAACACAGTATGTCTTCATTTCACATTTATATAATTTAAAATTTTTTTCGTTTATTTATTTGGTACAGGGTCTCACTACACAACTCAGACTCAGCAATCCTGTCTCAGTCTCCCCTGGGATTACGGGTGTGCACCACCACATCCAATTTCGGCAGCCAGCATGGCGGCACAGTATGTGGTACTTGCACTTGTCAGGCAGGCGTTTAGACCACTGAGTTAACTCCCCAACCCCTCATTTCACAATTAAAACAAAAGTTGACTGTTTTAATTCCAATGCTTTAATTCTATATCACACTTTAATAGCATCTGATGCTTTTTGAGGAAGCCCTAGTCATCCTTTCCTACGCTTTTTACAATAGTCTGGTACAACTGGCAGGAAAGTTTTATTTCCTCATCTTACAAATCATTTCTATTCATATTTCTTGTGTACCTACTATGAACAGGACCCAGGCTAGGAACTCAAGAGCTACACAGTGTGCTAGCAGTTGGAACAGCTCAGTGGCTGTTCCCTTCCCAGGCTAGACAGCATGGATACGGTCTCTCCTTAGTTTGCTGTCTGTCATTTCCTCACTGAGCAGAGCTACAGGCTGCTGCCTACCTCTCTATTTCAGGGGAATCATGACATGAGAGAAGCATATGCAATATGGAGCCAGATTTTAACCTCACTGGCAAAAGGAAATGATTCCTAGTTGCCTGTCACACCTCACATTACTGACCCCGGGGTTGGTGTGCGTCAGGTGAGCTGACACCTGCTTATGAATGACTGTGATGCTGTTGTGTCGCTCTGATGCTGCTTGGTTGCAACAACGGCATCTAGCTGCACTTCAGCTCTTACTACTTCCAGGCATACGGCCAAGCTCTTCGCAGACATCGTCTTACTTGATTGTTTAGAACCTGATGGTTCATGAAGGTCTTCATTTTACAGCAAGGAAAGCTTAGACTTCCAATGGTTTAGTGACTCCAAACATCACTGAGTTAATCAGCAGTAAGGCAGGGAGTTAAATCAGGCTTGTTGGACTCCACCTCCCTTACAGACTGTGGAAATCTATAAACAAGACATAACTTTGTCCTGCACAAAGAGCTGAGAAAAGCCGACCGATAAATTGCATCAACTAAAAGCCCTAGACTTAGGTTATGGCTTAGATTTAAACTGCCCCTGGATTCTCATGCGTGGGGGCGCGGTGCTCACCAGGAGGTTCATCCACGGATGAGAAGAGCAGCCACGTGGGCTGTTAGGAGCAGGGGCCTACTGTGGACAGCTGGGGCCCTGGGGCAGCACCTGGCAGGGCGCATCTCCTCTCCAGTTCCGCCCTCCTTCTCTGCTTCCCAACCACCATGACTTGAGCAGCCTTTCCCCACCAGCCCTTGCCCCAGGCCATTTCTACCTTGGAGCCAGCTCAATACCTGTGACAAAATAACCCTCTCTACCTATAAGTTGTAGGTTTTGGGAAATGTATTTCAGCAAGGAGGAAAATATATCACTTCTGCAGTATGATCGTTCTATTCTCGCCAAGACTAATTACCCAAGTGGATTTTTAAAAATAATTTCATACACTTCAGTTAAGGTATGTCAGTTAAGACATCTCTCATTACGTCTCATTCAAAGAGAATTTGAAAGAATTCTTTTACAGGCCTCATTTTGTAGACTTGGGGGAAAGAATACTTTGACTTGTCCTAAATACTCATTTTTGGGAAAGTCATATTTAGCACGAAACACCCATTCTGACAGGAAATGGTTAGATTAATGGCATCACCCCTCCTATAGCTTGAGGACAAACAGAAAAAGCAGGTTAGGGTCATGGTACATTAAAATTTTAATGTTTCAAAAGACCTTGATTAACAAAGAAGTAGACAAAAATATTTTAAAAGCGGTAACAGCCTTTACAACAAGTATCAATAGTTTTTGGCACTAGACACCACACAATTTTAGTAGACTCTAAAAACAAGTACATCAATCATATGGAACAAAAAGCAACCATTTTTACTACTTTTCTTTTTTATATTTAATGACTTATATTGTTATTCCTGAAACAGAAATATTTGCATTTTTTGTCATTATTATGTATTTAGTACATGGTCTACACGGTCTCACTACACAGATCGGACTCATAGTGATCCTCCTGTTTTCAGGCTCCCAAGTGCTGGGATTACAGGCAGGCACCACCATGCCCAGTCTCCATCACCTTCTCAGGGCGTCCTGGGGGTGGGGCCAGCATGGCAGGCCGGGGATTGAACCCTGGTCCCTATGCCTGCCTTAGTCTGCTGAGCTATCTGGCCAGCCACAAACTCTTAATGCCATTTAACATTTCATTTATAAGGTACATCATGAATGAGTTGCTTTAAATAATTACTTTTTTTGTTGTTGTTCTATGGAACAAATACAATTACTGTGAGGCAAAGAAGTTGCTGTCTTACACTTGAGTGTACTTTAAACACCACAGGAAAGAAGAAAGCAGAACTGTTGGGGAAGACCTCAGTGAGAGCAGGTACGCTTGGGCGACAAGCCTGACTCAGTCATCTCCTCCGCAGATCTTTAGGAGTGCGCTTTCATAGTCTCCAGAAGTATCGGACTGCAGTGCACAGGACCAACAGAGAAGAACAAAAGAAGGAAAAGAAATAATGAGCGACATCCTCAAGGTGTATGGTGTCAATTCTGCCTCATGCACTGCAACTAAATTTCAATTTAGATGCAAATAGTTAGGTTGTGACAATTATATAAGACTAGCTTCTAACAATTTTTAGAATAATTCTACTTTTGATAGCAATTTTTATCAAACACTTCTATTTACTTAGCTATAAGGTTATAGTTCATTGCCAGAGAACATATTTAATATGTAGGAGGCCCTGGATTGAATTTCTGGTACATAAAAGAGAAAAGTGCTTACTGTGTACTATCTCCTTTAACCCTCACCAAAGCCTGATGCAATGGGACTAGAACACTAAACACCCTCTATTGACAGGTTCTATACCCAGACAGCTTGCTCCTTAGCTCCAGGTTATGAAGTGGTTCCATCCACACAGGGTGTGTCTACTGGTTCCTTTTTCTGGGCCAGTCAAAAAGAGGTCTTGGTTCAGAAAAGATACCATGTGAGTGTAAGTATTAAGGGACAGAGGTACTGCATTTGCTATGCCAAAGATTTTGTCAGAGTAAAACTTGGCTTTAGCTTGGATTACCTAAAATTCTCACATCATATTTATTTTACTCAATATGACTTCCTGTTCCTTACGTTTCATTTGGGGGAAGTTGTTATTGGGGTAAATGCTAGGGGGTCATTTACTGAAAAGATCAAGCACTTCCTGCATACCAAGATACAACAGGCAGTAATAGATATTTTTCTTTAGATATTTTTCTGATATCTATCCATCTGTCTGTCTGTCTATGTTCCCTTTATTGATCTTCATGAGTCTTATTCTGTCTTTCAAACTTCTGCCAGTGAACAGCACCCTCACTTTGTAGTAAGCAAGCTTCTTTCCTCACATATGCCAGAAAATCTGCAATCTAAAATCCTGGGTTTTATCCCTGATGACTCTCTCTGCTCCCCTCACCACAGCACCCCAAGTCCCTTGAGTTTTGACTCCTAAGCATCTCTTGAGCCTTTGCTCCTTCCTCTCTTGCTTGATCACCAACTCGAGGATGTCGTCCCTTCAGTGTGATGAGGCGACGGCCTCATAACTCATTCCGTCTCTTCTGGTTTATGTCCAATCCATTTTTCATAGTCATGGGGATCTTCTCAGTGATCAGGACACTATCTCACTCACACACCTCAGTGGCATCCTGGGGTGGCAATGCATACCTGTAATTCCAGCTACTCAGCAGGGTGAAGAAGGAGGACCTGGGTTCAAGGCCAGCCAGGGCAACTTAACAAGGACTGTCTCAAAATTCAGAAAGAGCTGGGGCTGTAGCTCAGTGCTGGAGTACTTCCTCAGCATGTGAAACCCTAGATTCAACCCCAGCACTGCAAAAGCACCTCCCTCCCCATAAAACAAAACCACCTCTTCCTCAGCCTCCTATACTCTAAAACTAAAGACAAAAATCCTTAAACACTGCCCAAAAGTCCTGCATGACCTGTTCTCATTTTTCACTATATTCCCTCTAACACTTACTTTTCCCATATCAGTTCCTCTGCTCGAATGTTCTACTGGTTCCCCACCTCCTGATTGCTAGCTTATTAATTCTGCCTCATTGTCTAGGCCAGAATCATGATTTCCTCATAGATGCCTTTCCTGGCCATCGAATTGTCAGACATTAGCACGTAGTCGTCTTCCTTCACACTTATCAAAGCTATAATCTCCAAGCTCTTTCTAACTGACCTCCTCTTGTTACTTGGATTTTAATTCTCAATATTTCCTAAGTAGACTCTGTGATCAGACAACTGTGTGACTGCCTACTTTGCTCCCGCCTCTCGCCATCTGTGCTTCCAGAGCATGAATCTGTGGCATCTCTGGTGTCCTGCTGACCAGCACAGCTCCCAGCCCACAGGAAGCATTCAGTTCAAGTTGCTGACCTGACTGGAAAGGTAGGCTAAAGACTCACTGCTCTAAGAAACAGTCCTTTTCGAACTCTCAGCTTCTTTCCTCTTGATTTCCATATTTCTGTCCTTCTACCCTATAATGTAATATTTGATTTTATGTTGCTTTGATTATCACGTGTTCTATTTTTTTGTTTTGTGTGAGGCCCCAGCTCAGGACCCCACGCATGTTAGGCAGACGCTGCTCCACTGAGCTCTATCTCCAGACCACGGCAAATTGGTTTTTCATGTCTGGCCCAAGTCTCCACATAAATCCAAGTTTACTGCATTAGTTCTTACATCTTTCTGTAAAGAACATTACTTATTAAATAGATACATAATTTTCTGACAAAGGCAATTATCAAAATGTAACTTCCAGGGCTGAGGAGAAGGCTCAGTACAACAAGCGCTTGCCTTGCAAGCACAAGGGCCTGAGTTCAATCCCCGGTTCCACCAAAAAAAAAAAAAAAAAAAAAAAAAGCAACTTCTTATACATTTTTCATTAATATTTTCTTATTAAGTAAAAAAGAAAGAATTATGGTCCTGTTATTGTCTAAATTTCAGAACCTTAGCCATCTGAAAAGATCTTGTTCCTCTTTTCAGTAGGAAAAATATGACATTACCAAATAATGTACCTTAGGTGGTAAAAATAAAGAAACTTATGTTATTTCAAATCACAGTCTGACCACTTCAGTGATGAATTTTTCTTTTTATCCAACTACAAATTATTTAAATGTTTTCTGGTACAATAAGTCTCAATTACCCAGGACATTGGGAGCTGAGAGTCACATTAATTTAATTTTCTGGCCTACTGAGGGTGAACTCAAAGCCCTCCTTGTGTATCAACCTAGTTACTGACAATTGTTATAAAATGTATGAGTCTACTTTTCTGCCTTAGTAAGTACAATTTGGTTAACATTATTGAATCTTCCTTTGATGACTGGAATTACTGTAATATGTCAGGATCAATTTAAACAGAATTGTGTGTGAACAGCTGACGAAATCTGCACTGAGCCCCAGGCAGGGAGTTGCTTTTCTGAACATGTTCTTGACTCCAAGTGACTTGGATGTACATCCCTTTCTGCAAAAGTTTAGTGCAAAAACAAAGACTGGTTCAAAAACAAAGAGAATTTTGGTTAAGTCTAGTTGACTGATTAATGGTAATTCCTTGAGTCATATATTCAAAGCCATGTAGAGTCTGAGGCAGAAATGTTTCCACGACAGCAGCCATAGGCCCAGGCCAGCATGTGCGCATGGTCCAAGATTGGCCATCCTAGGGAAGCTCGCAGGAGGAGTAGGACTGAAGACTCCACTGCTCACAGTGAGGACGCAGGACTGTGGTCAAAGCCCAGAAGCCCCGGGCCAGGGCTGGGACTTTGTGCCTTCAGGGAGCCCCAGCCTCAATGTGTTTGACGCGAGGTGAAAGCTGGAAAGCTATCCAGGGCCCGGCTGTGGCTGCTGCACAGAGGACTGCCCCACTGGGCCAATGTGTGTTAGGACACCAAGACTCTGGTCCTGCCTCTGGCACCTGAACACCCCCATAGGCTGCTGGCCACTGCACACCTCTAGTCCAAGTTCCTCCTCCAAGCCCCCAGTCCCAGAATAGATCTCAGGAAGCTCCAAGTTCCAACACTCATGTTCTCAAATACTGTGTAGGTAGAGGGGAAACAGAGATAAGGAAGCCTCACGGCCTTGGGGGCTCTGTGAAGCCACCCTGCACCCATTTTCACTTAGTCCATGTGGCTGGGGCAGCTGGGGTGGTCAGACCACCTCAATCTCAGCACCTATTTGTTTTAAGGACCCATACCGCTCTCTGGACATAAGCTATCTGGGTGTTGAGGCAGCAAAATCAATCAGGGAAGGCTGCTAGGCCGGTCTAAACTCTGTCCCTAACTCCCCACCCCTTTATTTGCCAACTGCTATATTCTTCTTGGTACTATGACTTTTGAACCACGAGCTTAAGGTCTGGAAGCCTCTTGCATAATTTTGTCAGTTTTACTTCCTTACGAATTGTAATAATTTGTAACTTTTGGGCAGTTTACATGTATATAATTATATCAGTTGAGATCTGAGAACCGCAATTGGTTTTATTCTTTAAAACACAGGGGAAGGTATAAAACATATTTTAGGAAAACTCATTGAAAAAGAAACAAAATGCATCAATTTTTTAAATCAAGAAACTATGAAAGATTGATAAATTTAGTTGAATAAGTTTTAAAATTTGTTCCTGGGAAAAATACCTCCAGCCAAGGCAGAGGACAAATAAACAGAATAATATCTACAGTGAGATAAAAGCCTACCTTATGTAACACCAAGTCTTAGAAAACGCCCAAGAGAATAAATAACATGCAAAAGACACAGAAAAATCACAGAAAAAGCAACACAAGTAGCATCCAAAATGGCCTCCCTCACACCAAGAAAAAGTACTTTGAATTACCCTGAGCTATACTTAACTGTGATCATAAGAACACAAAAGGTTTGTGGATTGAAAAGCAAACTTCTCTTCCAAGGCTGCAGAGAAACAAGGACGTGCACCTTCCTCATGCAAGTGGAAAAATGGAAGGCAAATCATAACATCTACCCAAATTAAAAATGCATCGTATGTGCCTCAGTGATCACACAGCTGAGAATGTATCCCGCAGACACACCTACGAAGAAACTGTGTACGCACACCATGGCCCTGTTTACATCAGCAATGAACTGAAACCATCTGCTGAGGTCTTCCGTGCAAATTTACAGACAGCAGTGATACACAGATGTTAAAAATGAGAAAGCTTCCTACACACTGAAATGGACAGAACTGAAGCTGCAGAACCATGATATCACATAATTAAGAGGAAATTTATTATTGATATTATTATTATTACTTGCAATACTGGGGATCAAACCTAGAGCCTCTTTTGCTCTAACCCAATGCTCTACCACTGAGCCGCTTCCTCAAACCACAAGCAAATTTTAAAACGTATTTTTATTTTCTTATACTGTCATAAACATTGAAATAAATAAAAGCACTGGGGGCTGGTGAGATAGCTCAGTGGTGTAAAGCACCTGCTTAGGCAAGCTCAGGCAGCTCAGGGACTGTGGTTCGATCCCCAGCACCACATGCCATGCCAGCCCTGCCCCCAGGGTGGGCTGAGCTGGCCACAAAAAAATAAAATAAATACATAAAAGCACTGCAATATGAGCAATAGACAACTTGCACATGCATTTCATAAAAGAACAAAAATTCAAAGCTAGTAAATCTAAAAAAAAGGTTGAATATCTACTAAGAAAATAAAGCTCATGAATGGAGTGGAGAATGATGAAAGGGAGCCAAGTAGCATGGCTTAAATCAGGGGAGACCCTCTCAGGAAGGGACAGCTGAATTGAGACCTGAAAAGGTGAGGGGTTGGCCACGGACAGATCCGGAGGGGAGCATTCCAGGAGCACGGGCCACCCAGTGCAAGGACTGATGTGGGAAGAGGCTTTTACACAGTAACTGTGTAAAACTCAGAAAACAAATTTACATATTGACAAGGAGAGAGAAATCTAAGTTATATATCTACGTTTGAGGTAATATAAGAGAAAGAAGGTAAATGGGGAGGGGTGAAACATGTTTTGCTGTTTTTAAAAGGAGACTTACTTTGATGGCGGAATATAGGGAATAGCCACAGTGCTTCTTGAACTCATAGCGAATGTCCAAAAGGTCAATTTCTGATCTGGAAACCATTATTCGGTTTAGAGTAAACTCATCAGTTCCAGCACCCTGTGAGGAAATGCATGAGTTCACACTGTAAATCTCATTGGTCACGGAATGGCACTGAGATAGACCTAGACTTGTAAGATATAAATAATGGTACATAAAATAGCTAACTGCAATGATTCTTCATTCTTTTACTCTCAAACTTTGTTACTCATTTATCCAAGAAATACCTGCTGAGCCCCTCCTCTGTGCTAGCACCACAGTAAGTGCTAAAGAACTGAGTTGAGATATGCCTGATGAATTTCCAACTCTGCAGGCCAGAAAATAGGCCACTGCAAAATACTGGAGTCTCATGCAGAAGAAATTCTGGGTACCCTGGAAGCATCTGTTAGAGGCCCTCAGAAAGATTAAAGAGTAGGAAAATCATGTCCAAGGAAGACCATTTACACTAAGGGGAATCTTAGGGAGTCCCCTGCAGGTATATAAGAAACCTTAGGAGAAAAAGGAGTGGGTTCCTAGAAAGGAAAGAATATTCCAAAGAAGGATACTGCATGTGTGAAGGTTTTAGGCAAGAAAACATAAATAATGAGGTGGAGAGAATCACAAGAGACATGTCTGGAGAGAAGAGCCCTTTTTAACCATGAAATGAAATTCTGACTTTATCCTAGATGTGAAGAACTAATGGACTATTTTAAACATGAACCCCTGGGGACAAGGTCACACCTAGGATTTCAGAAGACCACTATGACTGTGATGTGAGGAGCTGATTATTGAGAAGGGGCATGAAGACTGGGGAACAGGATAAGAGCCTCTGGATTCATCTGAAGGGGCTGCAGTCATAAAGGAAAGAGGTGATGGGGAGCTAAACTAGAACAATGGCAGTGAGGACAGGGAGATGGAAGATCTGAGAGATGCTGTCACAGGCAGACTGACAAACTATGATGCATCGTTTGAGGATGATAAAGAACATAGAAAGCATGTGATTCCTGGCCAAGCAGTTAGGTGGATGTTGACTCCGTGTACTGACGCATCCAACAGTACTCACTGATACTTGTTGAGCATCTCCTGTACACTGGGTGTGAATGAACAACACAGATTCTTATTTATTTATTTATTTATTTATTTATTTATTTATTTATTTATTTATTGTGTGTGTGTGTGTGTGTGTGTGTGTGTGTGGCCAGCTCAACCCACCAGGGGGCGGGGCTGGCTGGCATGTGGTGCTGGGGGATTGAACCGCAGTCCCTGAACAACACAGATTCTACTATGTACTTATGGAGCTTATTAGATGGAAGAGTGTATAAATCTATGGATTATTTAAGTAAATATTACTAACAAGTAAGAAGAAAATAAAGCTCGTGAATGGAGTGGAGAATGATGAAGGAGAGCCAAGTGGCATGGCTTAAATCAGGGGAGACCCTCTCAGGAAGGGACAGCTGAATTGAGACCTAAAAAGGTGAGGATTTGGCCATGGACAGATCTGGAGGGGAGCATTCCAGGAGCATGGGCCACCCAGTGCAAGGACTGATGTGGGAAGAGGCTTGGCACAGTGAGAGCAAGGAAGGAAGGCTGCAGTGGCTGGGGTGCCGCCCTCAAGGCTGGAGAGGGATGGGACAGTTTGGCAAGCGGGCACAGGAGGGGCTGGCAGGACTATGCATGAGATGAGAGAACACGGGACGGGCGGGGCAAGGGGAGGGAAAGGCCTTGTTCACTGGGACATGACTTTGAAGGGTTACATGGAGCCATAGGAAACATCAAGTGAAGAAACAGAGGTAAGCATCAGCTCTGTGCCAGGCCCTGATCTAGGACGTGAAGATACATGAGGGCAGCTAATGAGCCCCCATCCACAGCCAGGACAAGCAAGCATGGGGTAGAAGCTCCTGTAAAGGTGGCGGACTCAGCAAGTCTGAGGCATGGCGTCCAACTGCCCACGCTAGCAGCAAAGTGAGGGAAATTGGTGCACACGTCCCTGTCCCTATGCCTGTGCTGGCTGGAATCCTTACTATCAGTCTCTGAGACAAATGAGCAAGCCAGCCACAGAAGGGAGCTCCCCAAATTGGAAAAGAATTAAGCCATTCCATCAACATAAAGCAGTATTTTTTACATTCTCCCTGAAGAACACTAAGAACACATATGAAATTTTCAGACCCACCTTCAAAGCACGGTACAGTCTCTGAGCTAGAAAGGCAGGCGTGTTCCTCACACAGTGAACTGTTATAAAAAGCAACATCATGATTAGCTTCATGGAGTAGAAACTGAGTTAATCTACAGTGATTTTTATAAAAAGACTATCGGGATTGTTACACCACTCTCCTCCTTCCCACGACTGGCTTCAGAATGAAGAAAGACTGTTTAGCCTGAATTTCAGCGCCTTAGAATGTCATATTTGTACAGAACGTTAGCATGGCAATTATACTACCTGCCAAAGAAAGCCCCACGGTGTGTGACTCATCTCGATATCCCAGACACAGGGACACCTCCATGTCCTGGCTGCTGCTGAACAGACTGAGCCTAACAAATGCAGAGATGAGGCTCTCAGTAAGCATTCGGTAAGAAGCACTGACTTGAGCTGCAAACCAGCTGTTCCTATGGAAGGATTTTCTTTTTTAATGGCTGGCTTAGAGTGCATAGGCTGGTTAACTACATTAAAATCAGTGCCTGTAGACTTCACTCAGTCATCTAGAAAATACCATAATCTTTCAAATCCTTATTTTGAAATAACAAGTGAAACAGGAACAAAACCAAAAGAAAAAAATGGATAAAACATGAGTAAATGATTAGTTTGGGGGGAATAAATTAGTCCAGAATTGAAAGTCTATTGGGAAAAACATTTTTACCACAGCACAATTACTTTTTTAACTTAAATTTGATCTGCAGGTAGGGATGTGCACAAAAGGGAATGGATTTGAGAATGAATTTTAGAGCTCAGAACAAGAGTGGACGCTGAGCCTCGGCTTGTGCATTGTGGCTGATGGCTGACAGGAGGCCAGACTCAAGGGAGCAGAATCATGAAAACTGTCAGGCGCAACCTATCAGGGCTGGGAAACAAGCCATGGGATGTGGTGACTTTCTCAAATTCGTGTTGGTCAGCCTTAGTGATCTGGTCAAGAATCATTATTTTCTCTTATTCCATTAAGTTTTTCAATCGCCCTCTCTCCACTAGGTCTGCACAATCCTATCTTTTTATAACCTTCTTTCTCTCTAGCCCCCTGCCTTATGTTCTTCAGTACCAGGTTTATTCTTCCTGTTGGCAATGTGGGGAAGGGGCAGTATACTTTAGAGGTAAGAAATTATCTTAGTGCTCAGCAGCACAGGTAGGAGAACACAGGGCCTAGGAGATGTCCCTACTGTGGCCAAGGCTTCCACAGGCTATTTCCTACCCTCTCCATTTTCCTGACCAAGCTTCAGTCAGGCCTCTCTCTTCCCATCCTTCTCTGGACTCAGGCTTGCTCCCAATTCCGAACAAGCCCTAACAGAAAGATGGTGCCTCCCTTATCAGCTTATCCTAAGAAGTCAGCTGACCCACCAAGACACATTTCCTTTCAAATCCCAGTGACCATGCCCCTCTACTGGTCCAACTGTCCATGAAAAGCTTTTTGCTGAGGTCTGCTTATACCCCTTTCTACAAAAGCAAAGACTCTTCTGTTGGTTTTTTTTTTGAGAGTCTTGAACATTTTCTGAAATCAAACTGTTTTCCCTTTTGCAATGACACTTCTCTTTCAATCTGGATTTGGTTTTACTTGACAACTAGTAGGTTCTTATTGTGGAATTCTAAGGTCACACAGTTAAGGCACTTTTTTCATGTAAAAGCTATGTGCTGATGTACTGTATTAGATTGGTCAGGCCTGGGGGGTGGGGAGGAATGGACCTGATGACCAACAGGCAACTAGTATTGATGAAAATAACCTAAGCGCAGATTGTGGTGATAACTGCCAAACTCCTCAATATTTAAAAAGCACCAAATTGTAGTTTGAATGTGTTTTTGTGCATTAGTTTATATCAATGAAGATTCCTTTCTAAAATGGTTTTACTCGGGGCCAGGGATGTAGTTCAGTGGGCAGTGCCTGCCCAGCAAGTGCGAGGCCCAGAGTTCGATTCCCAGTACCAAAAAAAGAAAATAGTAAAATGGTTTTACTCTAATGGTAGACTGAAATAGAGACTCCAAGGGTGATATATTTTCAATTTTAAATTAGTTGAATTATAAGACTTCTTTACTTCCTATACCCCTTTCTACAAAAGCAAAGACTTTTCTGTTGGTTTTTTTTGAGAGTCTTGCACATTTTCTGAAATCAAACTGTTCTCCCTTTTGCAATGACACTTTTCTTTCAATCTGGATTTAGTTTTACTTCACAACTAGTAGGTTCTTATTGTGGAATTCTAAGGTCACACAGTTAAGGCACTTTTTTCATGTAAATTAATGTAATTACATTCTAGCCCAGATTTAATCACAATTCAATGTATAGCTCTAAGACTACTTCTGAGCTCAGTGGCTCTGAACTGTTCCCCCCAACCCCAGTGCTAAATGCTTAGTCCCAGAGCTGGGATGCAGCTCAGTGGCAGGGCGATTACCTACCACACCCCTGGTACTGGGTCCAATCCCCAGCAAGAGAAAAGCCCTAATCCCCACCCTCTGGTGCTGCTGGGAGGTGGAGGAACATGAGGGGGTGGAGCCTTGGTGGAGGAAGTTAGGTCACCTGCAGCATGCTGTGGAAGGGGACGTAGGGACACTGGCTCTTCGCTTCCCAGCAGCTAGGAGATACACAGGCCTCTCTGTCATGCACCTCTCCTGTGATCTACAAGCTGTTCAGGCCACGGCAACAGGCCAAGAGACCACAGATTGCAACCTCTGAACCTCTGAGTCAAAGTACAAACCTTCCTTTTTCTGAGCTGATTATCTCAGGTAATTTTGTCACTGTGACAGAAGACCAGTTACCACTCAGTGAGTTAAGAGTTTGCACATAAAGTCTTTCAGATCTTACAGCTTAACAGATCCAAGAGCAGCAAAATTAAACATTAAAAGTAGGAAACAGAAAAAGTTGTAACTGATTACATCATCAACGTGGGAACCATTCTCAGAGCGCATACTGAGAAACTTATTTCCTTTCCATTAACTTCAGTTGGAAAAGACTTTTTCTTTTTTGACCTGTCTTCCAGTACATCTATCAAAGTCAAAAGGTTTTTTGTTGTTGTTGTTTGTCAGAGCCAGCATCTGGATATAGAGTCATGGCACTGAAGAGAAGGTCAGCGTGCAATAGCGTATGTGGGGGAGCTTGAAGGAGCGGATGCTTATAAAGTGGTAAACACAGTGCTCAGCCCATGTTAAGTAATTTAAAAATAAAATGATGCAACCTAAAGGGAGTTCAGCCTTCAGAGGTGGTTCTTAACATCTGCAAGATGAATCCAGGTCCAAGTCCTAGACAGTTACCCTTGGACACCAGCTATCTTTACCTCACCACAGGGGCAGTGAGTTACAACAATGAATACTACAAGTGACTCCTCCTTGGGGAAACGGCAGGCATGCTGGCACCACTGGAGAAGGACCTTGTCATAAGCCCAGGGGCCGTTCAGCTGGGCACAGCTAAGGGTTCTCAACAAGTCTTGGCATGCACCAGGACTAACAGATTCTAATGCCTAACGCTTGACTGGAGGAGTTAGGAATCCAGTCTTTCCAAAGGGGCTCATCCCTCTGAGTGGACCCTGCTCACCAGCTCTTCTCCTGCTGCCCAAGAGGTCGGCGGGAATCCCCATTACCCACCTAATTTGTGAATGCATGAGTCTACATTGGAACCAGTTCTTAGACTTACTTTCTAACTCATTCATCCAAGGAGAAGAGACCTTACTCTGACCTTGGCTCCATTTTGGGAGGCCTCACCCCCATGGTGAGGTAAAGATAGCTGGTGTCCAAGGGTAACCATCTAGGACTTGGGCCTGGATTCATCTTGCAGATGTTAAGTTTTTTTTTTTTTTTTTTTTTTTTTTTTTTTTTTTTTGAATTCATTA